TTTTACAAAATCTAATTAAGATAATATATGTGAATTCGTTTTTTTTAATTTTTTTATCAGAAACTTTTTCCATGTCAGCTGATTTATTTTTTTCTTGCTCATTTCTTCACCAAGGGGCTTGTGGCCATATCACATTGAGACACCGGTTTTCCTATGATCAGCGAAGTCAAGCTTAATGGTGTTTTTAAATCACGTTATCGAGGTAGCCATTGAGTCATATAGAAATTAACTGGGTGTTTATTAAGAAAGTTTTCTGATTATGTTATCTTGATGGAATAAGCAATCATGAGAGGAAACCTGGCAAGAATAAAGTGATACAAAGTGTATCTGACAAGATCTGTGTATATCACACAAGCAAATCACACCCGATATTCAGTTTCACGAGTTGTCTTTGTGAACTACAGTAGAACGCACTCTACAAAATTACTATAATGTTTACACAGGGGCAATAAAAGCAAAACACACTGTTTATAGGCTGCATCTATAACTTCATATTGTCTTCTCGACAAATGAACTCGACAATCTTCCTAACACTATGTATATTACGCCTCTCAGAGGGTCGATTCAAGCCGAGCTTCTCGGCTTGACGGTCGAACTCTCTGCCTCTGAGCAGAGAGGAACCCGGACGAGTCTCCGCCGAAGGGCAGAGTCCCGTTCGGGGAGGTTGACCAACCCGATCCTGTTTATACGGGTTCTACGGGCATTTTTGGACGAGTCTACGGGCTCGGGAAAGCCACGTTAAGCTCGGCCTTCTGCTACATGCAACCCTCGTGGGAGGGTTGGCTAGATACCGAATCGAATCGAGCCGATAGTGGTTCACTCCAAACCCGATTGACAGTCATACTAACACCTTCCACATCTTGTACTATTATTTCGTGTAATATACCTTCGTTATTTCTACTCTTGTGTTCGTGTTGTTCTTCCTTGGTCCTAAACCTTGGACCATAACAGTGGCAACGAGGATATTGAAGAAACGAATTCTACGCGGAGGATATAAAAAATAACCGAAAAAAAAAACTTTTTTCTATCGGTCTTCCATAATAGAGGCGACGGCCACATTGAGAAAAAAAAACACAAGTTCTACGCGAAGATAAAAGATAAAAAAACTTTTTGGACACCAACCAAAGCACATTTCAAACTCAACGTCAATCTTTCACGATTTTATAGAGATATTCTCTCGTCTTAGTCATTGTAAGAACCTAATGTCATGGTCTCTCCAGTAATAGAACCCTTGAGTTTCAACAAGATGTGAGCCTCACAGAAAGAAGGGCATACCGTACAGAGATTTGGCGAAGAATTGGAGCCGTACTAGTGTTAAATTGGGGCGTGATTTTATGAAATTTTCTCTTTCGTTTGGTGCTTACCATTCTTGTCTGTCTCTGGGGATTCTTGTTCTTACATCGGCTGTCAGCGTCGGAAGTTTTCACGTGCCGTTGATGCCTTTCTGAAATTCATTTAACCCTGCTATAACCTTGTCTAAGAACACCGTAGATGTATTGCTTCCGAGGATACAGCATACTCCATCTTTCGCGTCCACTTAATTTTTATACAGTCAAATAGTGTTAAATCCTGTCTTATTGTTCTCACAACAAAGCTAACTCAATAAAATTATTTCGCAAATACATCATCCAGTATAAGTGTCCAAAAACGAAATCTTCCAGTGCACTATAATATAATTTTCAGGCATTTCAGTTTATAAGCATTGAAAAAAAAAAAAAAAACAAAATGAAAAAAAAACAAAAAAAAAACAAAAGTGTTTGATAACACCAAAAGTTAATTCCCCTCTCCAAGTTCACCACCTTAACCAGGTATTGAACTCACAACTCTTTGCGTCCTGTCACTGGATCTATCTAACGCTTTTATCCACTGTGCTAGTCTACCCCATTGAGCAAAATAAAGGGTTCAGTTCGACATTTCAACCACTTGAAGAAGGCCTGAGCGTACAACGGCCGAAACATTGTAATAAATATGGCGACAAAGATGAGGACATTAGTCCGAATAATGTAAATAGTATACATAATACCTCATCTCAGAAATATAGACAGATACAGAAATCTTTTTATTCAAAAATTTGCCAACCACCTGAAGAAGGCCAGAGCGTACAACGGCCAAAACGTTGTAATAGATATGGCTAAAAAGATGAGGACAATAGCCTGAATAATGTAAATAAAGTACATAATACCTCATCTCAGAAATATAGACAGATATAAAATCACATCTACAGCCATATTGACACATTTTCTGTTAGTTTTTTTTTTGCATTGACTCTTCAATCCAAATATGGAAACCATATCACTGTTAAAATTAATAATCATTTCAAAATTAATTTATTGATTAACTAAACTCAGTGCTGAGGAATTTATAAAAGTCTGGATAAATAGAAGATAATAAAGATGAGATTAATTTAGAGGATCGAACGATTTCTTTTTATCTTAATTGTAAACATCAAATTGCTTTGAACTTTTATGTAGCCATGCATTGTAATTATATTAAACTTATCTTCTTTTACTATAATGAATTCTATTAATTTCTTTCTTGCACTTCTTTTTCTTAGATCGCAGATTTCAGTTTTGTATAGTTCCAAAAATACTCTTTATTTTATAGGCATATGTTCTAAAAGCAGATTACACTGAAAGCAACTTTACAGTGATGAAAATGCTTCTAAAATTTGAAACAATTAAACCATAAGAGTTTTTAATTATTAAGTAATGATGTCCAACAGACATGTTTTTCGAGATTTGGTTTCTGCATCTTTTATGCAACTATATTTCGTTAAATAAATTTGTAAGTATATATATATATATATATATATATATATATATATATATATTTATATATATATATATGCTAGCAGCATGGCCCGGCGTTGCCCGTGCTTGATTCAAAAATCGTACGACTCATACAGCAATCGCTATCACTTGACTTAAAATATATTTGCCCTTCCTTGCCATTAAAGGAGTGCCCTTTGCCGTGCTGATGTTGCTACATGCCTTACTTCTTGTCTATCTCACACTGCGAATTTTTTCTAAGCTCTATACTAAACATTAAATCTGTTACGAAAAAAAGAACTAAACAAAATGAACACAAAACGATCAGCTTTAAAAAAGGACTCGTAACTGGAAAAAAAACGAATGAAAAAAGAATGTTAACAACAAATACTTTTTCACACCTAACCCAGTTCTGCGGAATCAGAATCAACATTGAGTTTAAGCAAGCGAATGAACCAAATGGAGTAAAGTGCCACGCAGATTTAAATTTTTCCCACTTGTGACGAATGCAGCTTTTTTTTGCATATATATATATATATTTTTTGCATGCTAGCATGCTAGTTAACATTCGTGTCAGTCGGCTGTTGGGTCTCACGCTGGCCAATAAATCTTCCTGCCTATCCGTGGCAGCTAGCTACAGGCTCTCACTCTGGCCAGTAGAAAATGCCTGCAAACTACATGAAAACTGCCGTAGAAGCATGAAAAAATCGATTATTTCCTTTATCGATGAGAGTTGGGAAATGCAAGGTCGGTCTTGGCCTTCCCATTAACTTGGAGCATGTGCATGTAA